TACGTATTGAAAGTAAAGCCCAATACAGGAAGGCCAAGGTCATTTTATAATTTCCTTTCTGCTACTAGCTGCTGACAATTGACCTCACCACCCTTTTACTATTTTTAAGGATCCAAACCCAACCTGAGCAACACCTGATAGTGGATTCATCCTTGCTTCCTATAGGAGATCATAGGACTTAATAAGAGGCAGCAGGTACAGGGGGAAAGTGCAACCCCAATAACCCTCTGGGCTCATGTAGTAGCCAAGTGGCCTGACCCAACTCTGTCCACTCCAGTCTTGGGCTGGATGCTGCATTGAGAGGCCATGCTCTGCCCCAAGTCCTGGATTGGAGTCTTTCCTTGGCTTCCTTTTAGCCATGCTTCCAACAAATGATCTGCTGAACACAAACCTTAGGTGTTTGTAAGGGGAGGCCCAGAGAGTGACCTCTTTTCCAAGAAGCCAAATTACAATAAGCAGTTGGTTGCTTAAAGAGAAGGCGAATGAAGTATCTTTCTCTTCTCTTAGTTGATAGCCAGAACTGTTTAGACTACTTATTATCTCCTAAAGTTAAGGAGAGTTTAGGAAAGAAGAGGTGGGGAGTGTGCTGGAGTGGAAAGAAAGCAGAAGGCAAAGGCATATGTATCACAGCTAATCCATTCTCTTTCTAATCTAATTCTTAACAAGGAAGATGTTGCCTAGTTCTTGAGACACTGCAACAATGACCCTGATTGACTGTGATCAGCCTCAAGCTGCACGTTATCCAACAGCCTGGGGTTTTCATGTCCATTAAGGTCACCAAGTCCAGTAGGCTTAGCCCAGGGAAGCTGGGCTGGTCTGCCTCATGTGGCCCAGTGGGTGTGCTGGTACACGGGGGTGTTTGTCTAGCCTTAGAGCAAGTCCAGCTCTGCAGGCTGTCCCCAGGGAGCCAAGTCATCAGCCATGGAGGGGCACTGAGAGCTTAAGGGGACCACAGGGCTTTCTAATTCATATGAGAAGATGGCGGTTTTGATTTACTATTCTTTGGTCATGAAGCATACGCTACATTTGTGCATGTGCACATATGCACTTGTGTGTGTGTGTGTGTGTGTGTGTGTGTGTGTGTTTACTGGGAGTTAGGGAAGAGAGAGGTTAAGATAGGAAATGCAAGTTTCCTTAAGTCATACTAAATGTCCACTGACCCATGGGGAGAAAAATTCACATATACTGGAGTTGAGTCTGGACCTCTTTCTTCTGGACCAGAAACTGACAACGTTTTTACAGAGTCAAAGAAGACTATTGCAGAGACTGCAGAATTAGCTGCACAGAAGATACTAACAATTCCTCATGACTATGTAGACCTTGTGTCACTGGCCCTAGAGACCACTGACTTAGCAGGTTAGCATCAAGTAGCTTTTGGATATAAGTTTAAAAAAATAAAGAAATAAAACAAGGCTATGGGACATGCTAAGGAGAAGCAAGGAAGGACTCACATTTTAGAATCTGGTTGCCCTTCATTAAGAGGATAGACTTACGGGATGGCTTACAGGATGAACTGCTCACTGTGCACCCTCCTGGGTGGCAGATGGGTATACTGCCTAGATTGCATGGCTGGCTGAAGCTGCCTAAAAGGAGGAAGACTCAGAGAGTGGAACAGTCCCAGCCACCCCCTTCAGTTGTGGGGAAAGGAAAAGGAGAAAGGTCCATGGAGGAGCTCTGGAGTCCAACCCAGCCCACACTGACATGGTCACAGTTGTCAAACTGCTTGAGGCACAAGCAAGGGCTTTCTACACACCCCTCCATTAGCTTTTGTAGCATGGCTGTGCAATAGTTATTTTCATTGCCCTTCAGAACTGTGGCAGCTGAATCCAGACTGTGTCCATCCAGAGCTGTGTCCTTAGGCCTAACCCATCCCTCCCCTGCTGGATAGCAGTATCTTTCCTTTTCCCCTCCTCCCTGCTTCTTGGCAAAGACTAATAGAAGAAAATAAGGGGACCTGGAAAGGAGCCATGCCAACCCACTGGGGAGGGCCTTCTTCCAACAGAAGAGATCTGAAAGGAGGTGGGTTTTTAGGGGCAGGAGGCTTCAGAAAACCAGAGCCAATCTTCTCCCCATCATCTTGAGTTACGTGAGCCTCCCAGGAGTGATGCTGATGACTCTCCCTGAAAAAAAAGACTGTCTGGGCCAATCGATGTGGTAGGCCCTGCTGGCAGGTGGGCTTCCATAATCTACTGAGACTCAAATAGGCTTCTGTGTCTGGGCATGGAGCCAAGGGAGGGGAAGTTGGAAGGGGGTTGAGGACCTGTTAAGCCTAGTCACTGAAGGGACCCTGCCAGGCCCAGGACAGGACACAGCTGTGATAGGCCAAATGCAGACTGGGCTGTAGGCTATCTTTCACCCTTACCCAAGTCAGAACAGGTGGGCTCAGGCATGGAGCAATTTCCTGGGAATACAGGCTCAAGACTCAGGGCCAAATAAATACCACCTTTGTTGAGATATCATTGTTATTCGAAAGGGTAGGGCTAGGGGCTACAAAGAGGGCAGCAGCAGTGACCCATCTCACCACCAGGCTGGTAGGACAATTGGGGAAGCAATGGGAGGAGGGTTTAAATTACAGGAGCATTTCTTAAGCATGTTCAGTCTGCAACCCTCTGGTGACCTTGCCAGTACAAAAGCTCATTCAGCCACAAGGGCCACCTGTTGGTAGAGGCTCCATCCTCAGGCTGCTGATGTCTGTGTTCTCTCTCCTTGTCTCTTTCTGGCTTTCTTCTGTGTGTTTCTGTCTCTCCTACACACACACCACACACACACATGCACGTACACTGTTCCTCTCCTCCCACAATGTGACAACCACCTTTCTCCTTAAGTTTCTCCCTGGAAACTTAGCCAAAGTGCCTGAGAAAACAAACTGACCTTCACACCTCAAGAACACATTTCTCTGCTCTCTGCCCTAGTCTTCCTGAGGTCTGGACTTCCTGGGGCCACTAAGTAAATGATGGGGTCACTCAGAACAGGGTCTTGCCCATGATGGGAGCTTAACAACCCACATGGTCTTATTTGATTTTCCTATAACTCAGTGAAGTGGGCAAGCCTGACATCACTATGTCCAAGTCACAGGTGAGTAGACTGGCGCACTGTGGGATGTGGCACTTGGATGTGATGGCAGATGCTCACAGTTCATGTCCACGGCTATTTTCTTTATGCCACCCTGAGAGTGGAGTGCACGCTGATAGCTTCCTTTTGGAACAGCCTACACGTACACTTATGTCTTAGTACACTCTTCTGTTGGTACAGAAGAGGACACTGAGGCCACAAAAGAAGAAGTGTCTGCTACCTTCTCCTCTCATTCCTGCTAAACTCAGCCATGGGGACAGGAGCCTCTGTCACTTCTCAGAGCCTTGATGCCCTGACAGCTTATAGGTCTCAGTGACATGTGGGGCCAGGACGGCATTGCAGCAGAGACCAGTGCAAACATGGAAACCTGAGTTTGGGTTCTGCAGGCCTTGAGCGCCTACCCCATGCGGGAAGCAGCTGAGCCATCCTTGACAATAGCGAGGCAGTGGGTTTGGAACTCAGTCTTTTTGAGAGGCCTCACTGTGTGTGTCAAGGAAAACTCCCCTCCTGCCTGTGAAGCATCATCCAGGGGACTCTTCTTGACCGGCCAGACCCCATCTGTACTTCATATGCAGTCTTGTCAGCCTCTTAAGCAGGCCATGCAACCTTGGTGTCAACTTGAGTGCAGTCTCTGGTCTGTCTCTGAGTTTTGTATATTTCAGTGTGGCTCAGTGATTCTTCATTTTTTCCCCACCCTAAAATACCTGAGGAATTTCAGACATTCCTTTAAGGAACTTAAGTCCTCACTATGCCTGAGATTGTCACCAGAGATGGGGAAGGAGCTTGTTCCCTTAGAGAGGATGTGTTAGAATTCAGGAAGATGTTTCTAACTTTCAGAATTTAAGAGTGTTCCTCCCTTTGGGAGGGGAGAGAAAAGAACCTACTCTCCCACTTTTTTATACTTGAAAGTTACTGGTAAATGTCATTGGTCACATAGTGTTCAGGTTCTTTGTAGGAAAATGAAAGTCTTCTCCTTAATTGTGTGTGTTTCACTGGGAAAGTGTACAGTCTCAGGTATTGACGTGAAACAATAGTTGTGCTAGAACCAAATTTCATTGGAGTAGGGTCAAACTATGGTTGTCATCTCCAGGTAGCAGTGCTAAGGGTCTCTGGATCCCCCCAAAAGGCCTTCAGTGCCAGGGATGTAGCTCAGTAGCACCACCCCTGCCCGGCAAGTGCAAGGTCTCTAGTTCAATCCCCAGTACTGAAAAAAAAAAGTGCCTTCAGTTTGCCTGCACTTATTTCTTGGCTGGTTGTCTGTCCTCTATGTCCTACCCTTCAGTTCATTTACCATGCTACCATTTGCCTCCCTTATAACACTGTTGGCTTCCTCTGACTTCTACAGAACACAATGGAGCCAGCACAAGAGGAGGCACACTGGGTGCGTGCCAGCACTGGGGCCAGGCTTCCTTGGCCCAGTGAACCAGATCCAATGCACTGACAGCTGATGGGTTTCATGACAGCAAAGAGAGGGTTCTCAGGTAGTATACGCTTGAAATGCACATCTAAGTACCAGGAAATTCTATGGAGAAATCAGAAGGTATGTTAAGTAGACAGCACCTATACTGCTGCACACATATTGAAGAAATCCATGTAAAGCGTAAGAAAAAAGTCTCCCTACAGCCACATCACAGTGAGGAAAGTCTCAGGATCTCGCTTCCTCTGGCTCTGCAAGGTGTAATTATCCAGTGTAATATGTATATCCTGGTCTGTCACCATCCCCATGCTGCCATTTCCATGTATTTCTTATGAGTACTGAGCAATTTAAAGTGAAGTCAGAAAGAACAAAAGAAGAGAGATACAAAGGATGCAAGGAAGGAAGAGTAAGAGAAGGTAAGGAGAGAAGAGAGAACCAAGGGAAGGAAAGGAATGAGAGAAAACAGGAGGATGAAAACAATTGCAGGGAGGAGGCAGGAGGCGGTACTCACGTGTTGTGCAGCACACACCAGCCACAGTGGGGATCGCCAGAGCCAAGGCACTCACTACAGCTCCGGTATTGACTGCAGGACTCCACAGGGACTCTGGTGAGCTAGGAGAGCACAACAGGGAGAAAGTGGTCAAGATTCTGCTGAACACCCTCTCACCCACCGGAAGAGATGTTGTTCTACATATCATCGTATCACCTGAAACACTGTAGGAGCATGAAGGTGTTTAGATGCCCAGAACTGAAGCAACTGAGTGATCCCACTGGAACACGTGGCTGCATAGCATTCAGCGGATACAACCCTCTGCTAAGTTCTTAGAAGTCACCATAGAGTTCACATTGAGTTGTTATAAAAGATACTTACATAGTGTATCACTCAAGCCCCCACATATCTCTGTGAACATCCAATCCATCACGTCTTTGTTTCCTATTAAAGTGGTAAACTCGAATGTTCATTCTTTTTCGATCTTTTGCTTCATATTTCGCCAGAGCGTGTTTCCTTTTCTTTCCAGCCATTCCATCACATCTCTGCACTTTTGTTGCTGCAGAGAGTGTGCAGAGCAGACTAAGAGCTTTCTCTCCCCTTCCTCCTGGCCTTTTCACGGAGTGTTTAACTCACTCCATGACTGTTCCTCATCCTCTCTCTCTTCCCCAAAATGTTGCCCAACTGGCTCCCAACTGGCTCTACACATTTTTCGTGATGGTGCTTTCACAGCCCAGCCTTGCTATTTCCCCTCCTGCCCACACCCTTCTCATGACTTGAGGTTTCCTCTCCAACCCAAAAACTTTATATTAGTTTTCACCAACAGCTTGTTAATGTAAGATGTTAAAATGTTCCACATGACATTTTTACTTATCCCAAATGCTTCCATTTCCTGTGTGCTCTTATATATCTTTTGAATGTCTTTGTTCTCTAATGCAACTTTGCCTTGATGTCTCTTTATATGTTTCCCAGTACCTACTACATAGTAAGTCCTTAATAAAGATTCTTGGGATCAAATGGAATTTTTATTTTCTTTTTATAACCTTGGTCTTTTGTCTCCATTTTGCCAGCTTCTTTTTTACAAAAATTTTTTTCCCTTAAATCATTCTTTCAATTTGGGGTACTTTTTTTTTTTTATCTCAGCGGAGGATTTCCTGCTTAGTCTTTCAGCTTGAGCTAGGAGGCTTTGATGAGGCTGTCATTTGCAGTTTCTCGCCCTCAGACAATAGGCACAGAGGTCGGTACATGGGGCTGGCCTGGCTGGGCCCTCTCAGCTCATGAACAAACGCAGTGGCTGTGTTATCCCTGCTGTTTCATAGGACATCTGCCTCAATAAAATTATGTCCACTTGGCAGGGGCTACTTGTGAATCATGTATAGGGAATCTGGCACCAGAGCCTGCTCAATTAGTCTTGAATCTCTTTTGGAATTAATTAATAATTAATTTCAAGTTCCATGTGATCTCTTTTCCCTTAATTTTCACATTCCTTTTACATATCTTGAGTTCTCTAAAATACACATTCATCCTTCTTAATGACCACTCTGCATTTTCACTTCTTTCTAGTTACTTTTAAGTTTCTTCTTTCTATTTTCACAGCATTGCCCTTTGCCTTTCTTTGAAGTCTTTTCTGCACATTTGGAATTTTATCTTTTCTTCTACTACTGCTCATGTAATCTGCATGGGTCATGCCTAGGCTTGGCTATACATGACCTTGCTATTTTCATAATGAACTTTGATGATCAGCTTCTTACAAATTACTCCACTAGCTCCATATGCAGCCAGGAATTCACCCTATTTCTTTTGCCTCTTTAACTTCTCTCACACTCCTTAAGAGAGCTTAGATGTGCCAGTCATGTAAGCACATACCTAATGTTTCCCAACCCAAAGGACCTGGACTCCTAGGAATTCATAAGGGCAATGAAGTCCACAAGCTATTTTCAATATTTTTAAAACCTAATGAAATTTGCATTGGTGCTATTTCAATATTTTAATGCATGCTCGTGATGTATGACCCATATTAAAAATATGAAATATATTATTATTCAATAAACAGCTTGTTTAGTAGACATAATCTTTCAAAACATAATGCCCCAAGGGGGAAAAATAATAAAAGGGGCCATAGATGATGAAAGCTGGAACCATAAGTGCATAATAATGTTTTCATATGTTCCAGCTGCTTGTCTGGCACTCCATATTTTGCATGGGCTTAAACAGAAAATCGTGGCTTGTTCAATCAAAAGCATTTTCTTGGCCTAAACTTAATTAACATTCTCCTCAGTTTCTCCTATTGACAAGTTCTGTAATCTGTCTTGGATGGAATGTGCCCTAGGATCCCAGGGTGTACCACTTTAAGTGAAGAGCCAGCTGCTCGGTAAATCTGAAACTCTCACAAATCTTTGCATTCTAAAAATATCTTGCAACTGGTGTTTAATAATATCAAGACCCTGGAATTGTAAAATCCTTCCTCTCATGATTTTAAACAGTAGTCATTTTTTGTTTGCTTGGAAAGAGTCTAGGATCCTGCAGAGCCAGGTTCAAAGCCTGGCTATTCCATTTACCAGCAATGAGGTCTCTTGAGTCTGATATTTCTCACCTTTAAATGTGGAGAGAAAAATTCTCCCTAATTCAGTTTCTCAAAGCTCAGTGGATTCCGTGACTGATAGTTACGAAACGTTTTTGTAAATGGCCACATACTTTACAAGTGGAGGTTATTATTGTTGCCGTCTTTGCCAGTAGTATCTCATTCCTTTGCACCATTGCTTTACTTTTTGTGTATACCTCTGAGAAGTGGTCTGAGAGTCTTCCAAGCCCTCCTGAACTCCACTGGGAATTAGTAGACCTGGAAGCCTTTTTTTCTCTTAGTACCTTGATTGTGTCATTTCACCCTTGAACTATGGCATCTGCCCCTAAACTATTCATCACTCATCCCTTATGACAAAACCCTTGTGACAAAATTCAGTTATCTGAGCTCCCTGGACTTATTCAGTACTTTCATCAGCCCCTGTGACAGCTATATGTTGTTCTTTGATTTCATCTAGCTGTGTCTATGTGGGACAGGGCACAAGGTTTTAGCTGCTCCTTTGTCCTCAGCCCCTTATTCTCTCTCTGGCCCTCTGTTTAATCATCTGTAAATGAGGGACTGGTGGGCCAGATCTAAACTTTCCTTCAGTTCCAACATACTAGCTTCTTTTTAATGCCCAGACTAAATCTCCTTTGTTTGGTTTCACAGACACATATGATCATGGCATCATACGACTTGCAAGAAAATATACCCCTGCAAATAATCACCTGAGCCTCTACACCTTTCTCTTCTTGAAGGCAAACAGTCCAACTTTTTTTTTTTCCTTGTAGGTTCTTTCTATGTATCCCATTGTTTTTCTTACTTTCTTTGGAACTTGATCTAGGTTTCCCCCACTTTTTAAAGCATGGATACTAAAACTGTGGAGCCACAAGGGATTCTCCCAAGTCAAGGAGAACAGTTATCATTATTTGGGAGCTAGGTGCCACATCCCTCCCCTTTCAAGGACTTCCCCCAAGGAAGGCTAAGGCCAGAGAGATCTTGCAAGTCTTTCTATCAGGCTACCTACTTTCTACTCACAAGTCCCTGGATCAGGCAAAGCCCTGCTATGGTGGCCCCATGTCTCCCTGTGGGTAATTCTGGAAGGCATTAGAACTTTTCCTAACACTTTAAATCACTTTTGAAAAACGGATTTAATACAGTCGTTTATCTTGGTACAAATGTATAATCTGATGTCCTTGATTACCTTCTACACCTTGCTAGCACATTGCGTAGGTGACCAGATGGCTTCTGAGCCACCTCACCCCTATGACTCTTTCTCTCCCTGAATAACTACATTCTCTGCCCACATCTTACACCAAACAAAGCTGTCTTTCCATACCCCACCTGGACTCCTCTTCTGACCCTGGAACACAAACCACTCCAGATGCAGAGCCACATGATTAATTAAAACCACCCCACACTGATTAAAGTCTTAAGCTACAGTGCCAGGCATGCTAATTAACTGAGTGAGGGAATTCAGACCACAGGAAGAGGTGAAAAAAGAAAGTCATGGCACAAGGGGTAGGAGGGGAACTTCTGTTTAAAGAATAAATCAGATGACAATGCGACCTAAGCTATCATAATGATAAATGGTCTCAGAGACCACAAAAGATTGAGGCCCATCCCCTGGTCCTTGGTCTCCAGGAGAAGTGCTGGCTACAGTATTTTTATTTCTTCTGGGGACAGGAACCCCATCACCTCTGGGGACCTCCGTGAGTGCCTCCACTGTGCTGGGGGATAATGTGGCTCCTTGGGCATAGGAGTTAGGGTGACGTCTGACAGTAGCTCTCTTGGCACACTGTCCTGGCTTTGTGCAGAAATGTAGGCAGTATGGCAGTTCTTTAAAAGGTTAAACATAGATTAGCATATGATCCATTAATTTCACTTCCAGATCCAACTCAAAAGAACTGAAAGTATGGTCTGAAAAACACACCTGTGTACACATATTCATAGCAGAGCTATTCACAATAGGCCAAAGGTGGAAGAAACCCAAATGTCCATCAACCTAAGAATGGCTAATAAGATATAGCATACACATACAGTGTGGAATATTATTCAGCTTTTAAAAGGAAGGAAATTTTGGAGGAATCGTGAAGTCGTAAAGCTAAGTGAAATAGGCCAGACACAAAAGGACAACTACATGATTCCACTTGTATGGGGCCCATGGAGTAGACAGATTCATAGAGAGAAAGTAGAATCGTGATTGCCAGGGTCTGGAATGAAGGAGAAATGAGTCACTGTTTAACAGGTATAGAGTTTCAGTTTGGGGAAATAAAAACAAGTTCAGAGGATGGATGGTGGTGAATGTACTTATCACCACAGAACCCTGAGAAAGATGCAAAATGGTAAATCTCGTGTTATTAAAATTTTACCACAATTAAATTTTTTGTTTCAAAAACAGTCTTGAATAAACTTTCTCAAGCAATCACATCATCACCTTGGCAGATAGATGTGAAAACAGCTGCTCTGGGCTCAGCTTCCTGGGCTGAGGGGGGAGAGGCTTTGTCAGTAGACTAATGCATTCGTGTTTATGAAATATTCTGAGATCCTTCAGCGAACAGA